CCTGCATACCATGCTAATTCCCATTTGTCTGACCTTTTTTGCCGACTTTTCACAAAGAAATTTGCTTAGACTAGTCAGAGATATTCCCAATTGAAACACATTGGGTCTAACGAGTACTTAGATTTATTACTTCAGGGTAGGTAGTACTGCAAAGTGTGTTTTTGCACCCACACGGACATCACTTCGAAAACCACTTTTTTGGGTCCAGGGGGGCCCAAAATGGATATATCCACTAAAAACTCAAACTCGAAAATGTTGACGAAAACAATACTTTCTCCATATACTATGGTATAGTGAGAGAAAGTAAAATATCCCCACCGCAGCAAACCTGCCGACTAAACGAACTTCCATTTGTTTTAATTGATTTTCAATCAAATCTATTTAAATAACACTAGGTTTAACGAGTACCTAGGTTTGCTGCTATAGGGAGGCTAATAATGTGAGGTTTTTAGTAAAATATTAATAGATTAGAATAAAATAAATAAATTTCCCAAGTTTTATCAAAATATATCCATAAACAAGCAAACTACAATATTTTACAATATTCTCCATAAGAATAACATGGTAAAGTAAATGATAAAATCAATCGTTGTATTGAATTCAAGTGGTTATAAAGATCAATGTAAAACTGAACTGTATACAAAAACAAAAATTAACAATAATCAAATCAACATTATGTAAAATATTTAGTTAGTAAAAACTGACATTTAATATGATGGTAAAGATCATAAGGAACAGTAGACACTGCAATGTGAATTTTAAATTTAAATTTTTAGATTTTTCCCTTTACCAAGAACCGTACAAAAACACTTTGATATAGTAAATTGGTTGTTTTTTAAGCTCATTAAAAAGGTCCAGAGGAAAATTGGGAATTTCTTTGTTTGGCAAAGTCTAAAAGTCATAAACATCTATCTATCTATAGCTATCCTTATAATCTATCCTTAATACGTGAAGGCGATTTCAACGAAACACAGCTCCTCTATTAATAATGGACGGATTTTTACAAACGATGTGTCAAAATTAAGTATTTTTTGTATAGACTTTCACCGATTCCTGTAATAAAAGTCCTCGGGCTTTGCCCCACATGCCATCAAAACCCCAATGTATTTCTTATGAAGTTAAAGATTTTTTTATTTATACAGACGAAGAATGTGTGTTAATTACAGCTGTTCATAGTAAACACATGATACACGCAAGAGCGTTCGTTTTCAGAGTAAGTTTGTTTTCAGTTTCAATAACTGGAGTGGAGTGATTACATTATCTTTGAGTTGAACCTTTTAAGGAATCGGAAATTATGACTGTTATTCGTTTTGAAATAACACCTGTAATACTTTAATTGCTCGAATTCGAGCAACAGGTGCACTAGTACTTATTTAATACGCAAGCAGATTTTTTGTGACAATTACTCCTCCGAAACTACTGAACCAATTGACATGTTTTTGGTGTCATTGGAAAGAGCGTAACGTGAAGTTGTGCAGGAAACTTTCTTTTTAGGAAAATAATAAGAGAGTGAGGCCCTTTAAAGTTTTGTATCTCTCCATAAGATTAACATGGGAAACAAACGTTGTTATGAAACTCCAGCTGTTGTCATAAATTAAAAGTGAGAAGAACTTGTGAACAGCCAATAAGTTAGCTAATTCAACTGTTTGCTACAAACATTTACTTACCGGTACTTGGTTGAAATGAACTATTTACTATTTGAATTTGGGTTGGCGTAAATACAACAATAGAAAAATGCGAGAGAGCCTGGATAAATTGATATACTAAAAAGAAAACTGAATTAACACTGTGCTGCATTTCTTCGTAATCATTGAAAGAGCAGATTTTGGAAACATAGGAAAGTCATAGAGAACCACCAAGGAGAAGAAATAGAAATCATGTTTTTTTTTGAATTTATAATCGTTATTATGGACAACCTAATGCGGCTATGAGTAAGGCTATTCGTAGAAAACACTTTTAAAAAGTTTAGCTTTTGAAAAATGATAAGTTATTTACAAGAAATGTTGATTACATCGATCTATTTTGTACATCTTGAGTATTTCCATAATCTTTGAGTCGAATCTTTTCAAGTCATCAGATATTATGACTGTTATTCGTTTTAAAATAACACCTGTAATTGTTTTATCTATGGTAATACTTAGCAATTGCTCGAATTAGAGCAACATGGACACTAGTACTTATTTAATACGCAAGCAGGTTTTTTCTGACAATTACTCCTCCCAAACTACTCAACCGATTGACATGTTTTTGGTGTCATTGGAAAGAGCGTAACGTGAAGTTGTGCAGGAAACTTTCTTTTCAGGGAAATAATTAGAGTGTGAGGCCCTGGGGCCCTTTAAAGTTTCGTATTTCTCCAAAAAATTAACATGGGAAACAAAAATTGTTATGAAACTCCAGCTGTTGTCAGAAATTAAAAGTGAGAAGAAGAACATATTTTGATTGTAAACAGTCAATAAGTTGGCTAATTTAACAGTTTGCTACAAACATTAAATGTTAAATTTAAACAAACTGTTAAATTTTAATGACTTGGTTGAAATGCAATATTTACCATTTAAATTTGGGTTGACGTAAATATTACAATGGAGAAAAACGAGGGAGCCTGGATAATTTTATATACTAAAAAGAAAACTGAATTAATACTGTGCTGCATTTCTTAGTAATCATTGAAAGAGCCGATTTGCAAACTATGGAAACATAGGAAAGTCATAGAACAACACCAAGAAGAAGAAATAGAAATAATGTTTTTTAAAACGTTTGTACGTCCCCAATGTTGTCGGTTACTGAGGTGAAAGAGGAAGTAATGGCAAATATTGTTCTAATAATTGTAAATATAAAACAAGCACCTAACTTGAGTGATAAACTTGTATTTTTCCCCTTTTGTCATGTAAAGAACCAGTAGCAGCCCGCAAAAGTCCAGCCTGGATTACATATAAAAACTAAATATGATTAGTTTGAGTAAATAGTAGAGTTGTTAATTGAGTTTTGCTTTTTCATTTGATTTATTTATTATTTTTTGGTTGCTTTGATTGTGCAGTTGTCTGGTTTCTATTAAATACTGCTGGGGGAAATGAATATTTAATCAGATCGCAGATGATCATAAAAAAAAACTTGTTCAAGGTGACTGTCGTTGTGGAAATGAAGAAGGGTTGGTCGCAAGGTGGAGGTCCGATCACTGACGGGTTGGCTCGGACTCAAAAGGTGAACCATGGGTTCGTTGGGGCCGAGCTACTCAAAACCAGACTGATGGAACTCGCGGGTACCGTTTTGGGGTCTGTGTGTTGAAGGAGTTTGGAAGGATAGTAACCGTTCTTGTTGAAACCTTTTTTTTTTTTTTTTTTTATAAAGAACGTTTCGCATGCAAATTATTACGCATGCAGAAAATTGCGCGTCGGTAAGCGCTAGAAAAAGGTGGGAATAGGTTTTCTTGGGATTCTGGAGATTGTTTCCTTATCAAGTATTTCCTTGAGAGGCAAGATTTCCGGTTCGTTTGTTTCTTTGTAAAAAATAAAAGTACTGAGTTTCTTAACTAAACTGGTAACTATTTTTCCCTAAATCTAACTACCTCTACCTTAGTGACTAATTAAGCTAAGAAGTATGAAAAGAAAATAAGGGAGGTAAAGGAAAGAATAGAAAGAGAGTTTGTCTCTAAACACTCGACGGGCAAGGTCGCCACAGAAGGTGCCATCACTGAGCCCTTTCCTACGGGGTAAAAATAAGCAAAGTAAAAAATAAAATTAAACCACCCGTGGAAAGTTAATTCCAAAACAAAAAAAAATCTTTAATCAACTCAGTGAGGGTGCGAGAGACGAAAAGGGAGGGGTAAAAGATTTGGCCGACAACGCACGGAAGAAGACGTGTAAGGCAGCCCATCCAAAAGGAAGGATACCCTGAGACTCACTTTCTTCCGGGCATTGGCGGGGACAGCGACAGATTGAGAAGACTTAACCTAATATCACTTTAGCAGAGTGCTCCGATCTGGGTAAAAGAGGTTGATTTGGAATGTTTGAGGCGAGGGGTAAATCATTTCTGCGTGAGAACTGGTGAAAGAGTTTTCTATTGATGGAATCAATGTCGCAAATGCGTCGCTATTTAAATGAATGTCATCACGACGCATTGACCTTCCATAATAGGCATGAAAATATTGCATGTGATTCAATTCGTCGGGGATGTCTATTACCTTAGTAAACTCTGAACGTAAAGTCAGCAAAAATTTGTTTATTTGATGCAGGCGGTTGATTGCTGAAAAAGAATTCCTTATCCTTGGATAATGCGGTAACGTCGTAAACACAACTACCATCCCAGGATAATTCCGACGTAATAATCTCAGAAAAGACAAAAAGGAGTTCTTAAAAACTGTAATTCCAACATTTGCTAAAAAATCATTATTACCTAAGAAAAACAACAGTGGCATGTGTGGCTGTATCGCAGTACTATTTAACTTAACAAAACTCTTGAGCTCGGATATTTTTGCTCCAGGAATGCCCTTGACTAAGATTGGCTGTAATCTTCCAGTTGAGTGACGATTGGTTTGACAAAAATTGTAAATCGAGTGGCATAAGAGTCACCAGTGGCGGATTTAGGGGGGGGGGCACAGGGGGCACGTGCCCCCCCCAAGAGCTGTGTATAAAAAAAATTTAAACTAGTTGAAAACCAAACAAAATAATGCAGTTGTTTTGTTTAACTACGGTATATATTTTATTTGCCCATTTAATACTAAACTTTACTTCGAATAAAAGTACACAAAATGCTTGGTAGCCTAATCAAAATTGAGTAAACTATTAAATAGTAATTGTGAAAATTATGTTAGTTTTCGCCGGCCGTCGCTCCTAAAGCTATAGTGCTATGCTAAGCTTCTTCTCCTTCTCCTCTTCAGTCAGCCAGTCACAGTCAGTGAGTGTGGGTGGCGTAGCCTTCGTGTTTGTCTGACTCAGACCAGACAGTCTGAGGTGGTAATGCTAGTTTGTACTGAATATTGAGGTTATTTATGTGTTTGTGTAAGAATGAAGCGGCAAGTTGCAATAGACTCTTTCTTTGTGAAGAAAACAAAGGTAAGTAGCCTATTTTCCAAAATGTCGTTATAGTTAGTATTAGGCTATAGTTTTCGTTTTAAATATCAGTTTTACAATTTACTTTACATAATGATATTCGGTACATGAATACCCAAAGGCCAGAACCCAGAAGAAAGATTGGATTTCGCCAATGATAGCGTAGGATACTGTATATGGTTTAACAAAATTAATGTAGGCCTATGTTTTACCATCGCAATTAAGGTGTTTTCTTTTTTCACATAGCTAAACCAGTTATTAAGCCCACTATTTCATTCTCCTTTTTAATGGATGTTAGGCCTATCGGCCTAGCCTACCATTATGCTGGCAGGTACATTAATTAACCTAGTAAGCCTACCTGTATTTTTAGGTAGCTTAGCCCCATATAGGCCTAGTAGATTAGACTAAAATTCACTTGCGGCTTCGCTCGCGGTTAAGTTAGTTATATGTCAAATGCCAGTGGGCCTATCCCAAAATGCACAATATCATATTTAGGCCTACCTACACTTAACTTTTATTTTTATTCAAAGGTAAAACATTTTTTAAATCCTTTCATAGTACGAATCTAGAGAATATAGGCATAATGAAATTTTAAAAACAATTCCGGTAATTATGTCAAATTTACGTCACCACTCTAAAATAAAAATTATTTTTTTTAATCTGTTTGTTTTTTGGTGCTGATTTTAAAAATGATAGTATTTTTTTGCGGAAAAGCACCGTTTTCCCGGAAAAGTGAAAAACGAAAAAAACACTTTTTTGTCCAAAATCCATGTTGTTGGTACTCAAATTGTGCGGAATTTCACGACGAATTTAACGGTATATTTCTCATTATGATCCGACAATTAATAACCAAAAAATCCCATAAAATATTGGGTTAGGTTAGAAAATGAAGAAAATTAATGAAAATGAAGAATGGAGAAAAGCTGCCAGGCAGTACAAAAAGAATTAATCTCCCTTATATTATTTACTCAAATCTTAATTTGTGGGATTAAAATATTGGATGTCTAATTGTTCTGAAGATATGTTTTTATTTTGTTTTTAGACTGTTAATAAAGATGCTGATGAAGAATCTCCATCTCCAAGCCAAAAAGAACCTCCAAGGCCACTGACGTCCTCAATCACACTAGAAGAAGAAAGTGTGAAATCTTTAAGTGAACCTCAATCGGGTCAAAATGAATTGCGAATCCCTGTTCGTGATTTTGGTCTCTTACTGGAGAAAAAAAATGCAGTAACTGATTACGAACGTTATGATTGGTTTCATAACCATTGGACGCCTCCGCCTGCATTCAAGTTTCCTGTAAAACGGGAAGGGAATAAAAATCGATCGTTTCAAACAAGTTGGCTTAATCAGTATTCGTGGTTGGTGTATAGCGAGGAATTGGGTGGTGGACTTTGCAAGGCGTGTGTTCTTTTTGGACGTGGTGAAGGTGGGAAAAGTGACGGGAAACTCGGTAACTTGGTAATCGAACCCTTGACAACTTTCAAAAAGGCGACGGAGATCTTTAAGAAACACGATCGTGCACAGTACCACATTAATAATATGAAAGCTGCCACACACTTATCCAACATATTGAGCGGGAAAGATGACGATGTTGTAACGCAACTGAACACAGCCCAAAAAGCGTTGGTAGAAGAAAATAAAAGAAAGTTAATCCCCATAATTAAGACGATTATGTTTTGTGGAATTCAAAATATACCACTGAGAGGCCATAGGGATGACGGTGAATTGCTAAACGTCTCAACTGAAACTGAACAAGATCGAAGAAATGATGGTAACTTTAGGGCTCTTTTAAGGTTCAGAATCGACGCAGGTGATAAAGACCTTGAATCGCACATCCAGTCATGTGGGAAAAACTCATCATACATCAGCAAAACAATTCAAAATGACTTAATCCAATGTTGTGGTGAAGTAATTACAAATAAGATTGTTTCAAAAGTAAAATCTTCCAAATATTTCACAATTATGGCTGATGAGACAACTGATATGTCAACAAAAGAGCAGTTGTCCATTTGCATAAGGTATTTAGATAAAGTGAAGTTTGAAATCAAAGAAGATTTCTTGATGTTTCTCAATGTAGTAGACCTAACAGGAGAAGGCATTTCAAAGAAGATACTTGAAACGCTATGCAGCCTGGGGATTGACATTAATGATTGCAGAGGTCAAGCTTACGATGGATGTTCTAATATGAGTGGCAGATTTTCAGGCGTACAGGCAAGAATCAAGACCATACAGCCTCTAGCTGTGTACTGTCATTGTGCTAGTCACAAGCTTAATTTGGTGATAAGTAAAGCCTGTTCAATACCACAAATAAGAAATGCTGTTGGAGTTGTGTCATCTGTATCAAACTATTTTAGGGATTCCGCTAAGAGACTACACTCACTTGAAGCAGAGATGGGCGAAGATTTTAAAAAAGGAAAGAATGCAGTGAAGAAGATGTGTGAAACCAGGTGGATTGAGAGGCATGATGCCGTGTTGACATTCCTCAGTTCTTTGCCCACATTACACATTGTGTTGGAGACTATGGCACATTCTAATGATGAAGGTGGAAATAAAGCGTTTTCTCTGCTACACGCTATTGTTTCATCTGAGTTCATCATAGGTCTGGTCGTTTTGGAACATTTCATGAACCTTACACTTCCTCTAGCAAAGCAACTCCAAGCTGAGTATATGGATGTACTTAGTGCATTGGCTCTAGTAGACGCAACACTTAAATCTCTCAATGAACAAAGAACCGACTGTATCAAGAATTTCAAAATACTTTATGAAAAAGCTCAACAACTCGCTACTAAAATGGGATCAGATATAAAAAAGCCTAGAATCATTGGTTCTCAAAGACACAGATCAAATATTGACTGTGGGACACCAGAAGAATATTTCAGAACTTCTATTTACGTCCCTTTTTTGGATTTTCTTATCAGTGAACTTAATAGCCGATTTCCTAAAACAGAATTGTCACAAATTGGCAAACTTCAAATGCTCCTACCTGCTGAAGGAAGGTTTCAAGAAGGGTTTCAAGATTTGGTATTGGAGGGAGCTAGACTGTATGCAAACGATCTGCCATGCTACGATGCACTGAAAGGAGAACTAAGCATATGGAAACACATGTGGGCTTCAAGATCTCAGGATTTCCCCAAGTGTCCAGCTCATGCTATGAGGTACACAACATCGCTGCCGAATATAAGTGTTTTGATTCAAATCATATGCACAATTCCCGTCACCACTTCAACGGCTGAGAGGTCATTTTCAGCTCTCCGGAGACTGAAAACTTATCTAAGGACGACAATTACGGAGGAAAGACTAAATGGACTTGCCAATTTGCATATAAACCAATCTGTATCCTCAAAAATCTCAGCAGATGAGGTTTTAACTCTGTTTGCTAAAAAACATAAAAGAAAGTTATCTTTTGCTTTAAACTAAACATTTTGTAGTTAAGTGATGTCAACTTCAGTTGTTTATCTTCAACTTCAAATTAATATTCTTGCGTTTATTGTGAGTTGAGTTACTAAATACAATACAACACATATGTACAGGATATATGCCTGCACCGATATTAATTTATTGCATCCCATTCCTAGATTTTTTAATTTGATAATTTCTTATTACAGTTAACAATCAATTATTTTTAAATACTGGTTTCTCTAAAATCAAACCTTTCAGGCATATGTTAAACATTAATGATGTTGCCAAAATAAGAAGAAATAAATAAGAAATCGAGCTTCTATATGGAAGATTTATATTAAAAATATGGCTGAAAATTGCGTTTTTGAACACCAGAAAGTCAAATTTTCTCCGGGGGAGGACCCCCCTTTCCACAGGGGGGTATTCCATACCCCCCTGACCCCCCGGTGTTTCACGGGAATGGGCTAGGTGGTGCCCCCCCCAAACTATATTCCTGGATCCGCCCCTGAGAGTCACCGATTACCTGAATATTTAACGAAGATTTTTCTTGGTTCATGACCAATTCTTAAATTCACCTAACCTAATTGCAACTCGGTGAAACCCAAAACCGCTCAACCGACTACGAATAGAAGTGTAGATTCGTCGAATTTACCAAAGGCGATTGCTAAAAAAAAAAACCCACTTAACAAAATACAATTGTACATAAACTGGCACAAAACCCTCCTAAAAGTAGGCCTACACACAATTCAAAACTCTACTCAAAATGTTGTATTGGACACAAAACAAAATTTTTTCCTAATGAAATTGCAAATTGCATTCAAATATCTAATTTCCTTGCTTCGAAGTAAAATACATTTGTCGCAGGCTATGTCTCGAATTTCCAGCTAAAATGGGTAACCAAATTGTTATGAGTATACACACTAACTAAAATTACTGTATTGCTAGCAGAAAACCAGATATTGCTGTTGGCTCTACTTGACAGCGCTTACTGTAAATGGCGTGGATTCTGGCCTAATTCGAGTGTCAGCCCAGACAAAACTGAGTTTTGGCAATAATAAAAACAAATTAAATAAATGAAATGGTAACCATAAGGTTCCTGGTAACCTAAACTACTATTGCAGAACTTAAAAAACTAGCCTACTAATCATTAACAAATTTTAATAACCAAAAAACTGTCTACTGTAAAAGGTAAAGTAGGCCTAGCCTAGTAATTTTTCCCAACAGATTTGCTCTACTGAAAATTTGGACAAAAATGACTAACTAAGGCTTACTAGGGATGACCAATAGTGTGACAAAATAAATAATAAAGACAATTCATATGACACAATACATTTGACAAGAATAAATAAGGCACAGGTGACAAATAACAACAGCAAATTACACTAGAACAAATTGGTGACAAATAGGCTATTGCATGAAAAATGATTTATTTAATAGGACATAGAACACATATAACACTGACTCTACACTGGTTCACAAGGTGCTGATTTTAATTTAAAATAATCTGGTCATTAAGCCAACAAAAACACCTTGTGTTGGGCAAAGTACCACTTTAATTTAACAAAATTGGGCTGTAGGTCGTTTTAATACCCTACCTTGTACCTTACACCCACTAAATATTACAGACCAGCTAATGCCTCTTGCTAGGCTTAACTTTAAAATCGAAATTCACAACACTTGTTCACTAAATCCACTGTCCACTGCCTAGGCTCGAAAGGTGGTAAGATCTCCTGTAACATAAAAACAGACAAAACACACACAGCCCTACCTATGTCACACTAATCTTGGTTGGTCAACCTAGCCTAACCAATTTACACTTCCCTACCAATTTAGCCTACTAACCAAAAACAGCTTAACTACTAGCCTACCTATCCGTGTCGGTTAAGTCAGGGAAAAATGCACTTTACTTTTTGCTAGGAGAAAAAAAAATATCCCCAGAAGTTGTACACTTAACTTTTTTTTACCTAAAAATGGAACTGAAACTGCCTAGGTTAAGTACCCTGATCTAGGCCAAAGCCTGCTACCATATGTAGCCGGTGGCCGTTTGGTGAGGGGGTGCGGGGTTAAGGTATGGGATGGAGGAGGGAAATTCGGGTAATCAGAAGGGAATAAACAGGGTAATGCTAATAGGTTAGGAAAAGGTGTGTCTGGACCAAACTTAATTTCAGCGTGCTGAATCTGCTACCAATACAATTAGGAAGATTGCTGGGGACCAGAGGGACGGAGACCTTTTACCCAGATCAGAACACTTGCCTAGCCAGCTTTGATTTGAACTAATGGAACTAACTATTTAAATATAAACCTATCCTTCCACTACGAACTGAACTTGGGTAATTACTTACTAATTATTGATGAGCAAATGAGTGATATGTAATTGAATACTGAATGAGAAATAAGTATGAATTGATTTAAACTATTAAGTTACATTCTGGGAACATGTGGATTAGTATTCATGTTTCGAACGGTTGGTGGCAGAGTGCCACCAACCGGCTAAGTTGTCAATTCCTACATTTCCATAGTCGGGTGAGCCAGAAGGGCTCCCCGCTAGTTACCTGACTTAGCCAGACATTTTCCCTACTTAATTTCTACATATTACTAACTATGATAACTTATCCCAAACATCGAAGAGAAGTCCTGGATTTTACGGAGAGGTTTCCTGTGTAGAAGCCGGTTGTCGAAGAAGGAGGACAAGATTAGGAAAGGTAAGGATAGAGAATTGATGCAGTCGCGGCAGGCAACGAGATGAACATGCAGCCCGGCTTCGCGAACTGCACACACTATAAAAAATATAGCGTGCCGCTATGCGTCACAGCGTGGAAAGGGACGATTTGGTTCTTAACCTTTACGATATGACATACTTAACAAACGATACCCATCCAAAATTGATTTCATATATTTTATAAAAAAATCTCTATTTTATGGCTTAGTTTATTCAAAATTATTTTAATTATGATTCAGCCAAGTGGTGACAACTTTTTACGCTTATACAGTTGTGTTGATGCACCAATGAAAACTATGTAACTGTATGATAAGATTTTTGATATACACACTTTTTATGTAAATAGTTAAAACAAAATCCTATGACATAGAGCAAAGAAAAATGACACAAAACATTCACTACTTTACATTAGTTATACATATCCCTTTTGTTAACTAAGATAAAGTTAAACATCAACCAACATTATATACAAACAGCTTATTATTACTTACTCTAAATGTCACCATAGATATTTTTGTCCGATACAAAATGTTCCACCACTGCTGCTTACTTGCTGTAAAAAAGTAAATGATCAAGCAATCTGCAGATATTAAAACAAATTTTTTATCTTATTTTTCCTCTAATGTATTTTAATATTATTATAGAAAACGTGAGGTTTGCATAGTGTATGACTATTGACTTTTGGAAACTGAAGTATACATTCTATCTGTATGGATCAGTTGCAGTTGTTTTTTTTTTATTCAGAACATAAAATCAATTATAAAAGCTATTTTAAAATTGTTTTAAGAAACAAAATTCAACTACTACGCTAGTTGGTTGTGAAGAAACTTCCAATATATTTTGATTCAATTTAGCAAATGTGTTTATCTCAGTTTCTAATATTTTTTCCAAATGCTCAGACTGATTTGGAAAAAGTTTTGACAAAAACTACTTTACCACATCTTTCTCTGAAACCAATTGGTAGGCTGGATGCATAGTCATGTGAATGGACCAACCAAACTTTCCATGTGCTGGTAAACTACCGTATCTGAACTTTGCAGGTAGTTTGTAGTGTAATAATAGTAGTTTGTAGAACATGAATTATTGGCTTAAATGGATTTCAAAGCAAATATTTGAATACAACAAAATCAAAGGTCAATTTTTTTATATTTTCAAACCAAAGAATGTTATGACGTGTTATACAACAGAAATATTTTTGTCCATATTTCCCTATAAAATAATAAAACTAGTTTGCAAATTAAAGTTAAAATGGGATTTCAAAAATAATTTAATAAGGTTTACCTGTTTGCTGAAAAACAAATCAAACTGTGTTTGCTTATAATCTGAACCTGATTACTGCATGATTACCTTGGTTACCTGCAAACATTTGCACAAGCTGTTGGGAGTTGTTTAGCACACTGGCATGCAATAATGAAATGTTATTATTATTAAGTTTTATTATTTTAGTTCGTATATCAGTATGACAATAGCAATAAGACAATAGCTAGTTTAGTACAGATAATATAAAAAAAAAAACACATTATACCAACAATCTTGTTCGTATTGGTGTACTAGCTTAACCAGTCGTGGCTTTGCTCACGAAAATTCAAATTAAACATAAGTGGCTGCTTAGGTTAAACCAAGAGAGAACTTCTTAATTTACGACATTATTTTCCAATAGTACAGTCTGTTCTTCCATAACTTTATTGAGAAGTATTATTAAGTAAATTAATTAATGCTTTATTAATACTGAATTAATTAAATCGTTAGGTAATATTAAGTAAAATAAGAATTGTTCGCGATGTTTTATTGTGTTTCTTATAAACCTCAAAGGCTTACAAAGTTGCAGGTCTTCAGTGTTTACAATATTTTCGCCAAGCGGAATGTACACACTGAAAGTGGCTTTTCTAAAATCTCCAGCAAAACAAATTATTAAAACTCGATATCATAACATAAGTTTCCCTACAAAGGAATCATAAAAGCATTTGTAATTCACTTCCACCGCTAATACTTTACATAATCCCCAAAAACATGAAATAAGATTATAAAGCAACATATACTCATCTTCATGATTGTGGCATTTATGTAAGGAAGCCTATTTCATGTAGGGTTGGATGTCATTGAACTTCTGATCTCCTCTCTTGAGCACCCACCATAAATGATCAAAATATTAGAAGAAGGCAGATGCCATCCCTGAAATAATTATTAGTATATTATTAGATTACACATAATCGTTCCTTTTACATTGATATTCTGAACACATTAAATAATAATACAGTCAACCGTCCATCTGTTGGCTTAAGTGCCGTCAGTGTACAAT